TCAGGGTGTCCAAGAAATCACCAGCAACACTCCCTCTCAGCTACTTCACCTCATCTCCGAGCAACAGATGTCGTCGCTGACCCAGCACCTGACATTTTAAGAAATCCTTGTAACTATCCATCCAGTCAAACAGTGCCTGATTGTCCGTCTTCACCCATCAAGAGCTTAACCATCGCCCACATCAACATCTGTAGCCTAAGAAATAAAACTCATGAAATCCATTGCATAATGTACAAGTACAGAATCGATGTGCTAGCAATCAGTGAAACATGCTTGGACTCTACTGTGATGAATTGCGATCTTGCTATACCAGCCTACACTCTCTATCGCCGGGACCGAGCTGATCGCAGAAAGGGTGGCGGCGTTGCCATGTATGTGCAGGAACAACTGAAATCCAGGCAACTTCAAGTCAACGACAGGCTAGAGACCATATTCGTTGGGTTGCACACCCATAGCCGAACGAATCCATTTCTATCCATCGGCTGCGTATACCGCGCTCCCGACAGCCATGTGGATTTCTGGGAGCAGCTCGACAATAGCGTGCAGATGGCCTCCGCGACATGTCCGGACATCCTCCTCCTCGGTGATTACAATGTCAACATGCTCTCTGTCCCACCTCACCCAAACGCCCGCTATGTACAAGGCCTCTGCGCTGACCACAGCTTACAAAACGTCATACTACAGCCCACCAGAGTTCCTAGTCAGTCATGCCTAGACCTTGCACTCATACCGACAACAATGACAACGGCTGCTCCGTCTTCCTCTCCCATGTCTCTTCATAGTACATTTGTTCACAGCGTCGATGGCCTGTCCGACCACCATCTTATTGGCCTCTCTGTTCGTGTTAGTAGAGCCAACTTTGAACAGCCACACGAGCAATTCTCTCGAAGACGCCAACCTAGCCTGGCTCACCTTGACCGTAGTGTAACGTCTGCAGCTCTCAAACACATCCTTGACCCCTCAGATGTATCCGGCGGTTATACTCTAAATGCAGCGGCAAGCCACTGGCAACAAAGTGTCATGACAGTACTAGATGATCTTGCACCATTCGTTACCCAGAAGCGCGCAGCTTACTCCAAACCCCGCCCCCAGCCCTGGGTCACCCCAGAGCTGAAACAGATGTTTCATCGACGAAGCTCAGCCCACCGCGCCTTAATAAAGCACCCCATGGATGACCGCCTCCGACAGCAGTATCGTGCAATACGTCGTCAAGGAACTTTACTAAACCGCAAACTGAAAAGTGTGTACTACAAAGATAAGTTCAGTGCCGCTACAGGAAATCCTAGACTCCAATGGGCAGTGCTGAATCAACTAACTGGAAGGAGAAAATCCCACCCCACACCGAAAGCCTCCCTCTCATCTTTGTCAGATACCCTAGGCAATATCGTCCATGATGAACACCGCGCTGCTCTTACGACCCCAGACACTCCGGCGGACGACTGTTTAGACAACTGCCTTCTCGAATTCCAACCCGTTACAACAGCAGCAGTAACGAAGATTCTCGAACGATTGAATACCACGAAAGCATCTGGATCAGACGGCATACCAGCTTACATCTTGAAACACCATGCCGCCGAGCTGGCCAATTCCTTAACTTCCATCTTCAACCAGTCATTGTCTAGCGGAAAGGTACCGTCAGCCTACAAACTAGCGTCTGTGTGTCCAGTGTTTAAGAAAGGCGACCCCTACGACAGTTCCAACTATCGCCCAGTCTCGCTACTGCCCATTATCTCCAAAGTCTTGGAATCACTAGTGCTCCAGCAGCTTCACGACCATCTGGACATCACACCCGGAGCAATTCCAAATGAACAGTTTGCATACAGGCGGAACCACAGTACTGAGGACCTTTTAACACTTGCCATCAACAACTAGCAGAGAAGCATGGATACCGGAGACTATACGGCCGTACTGCTGCTCGATATGAGCAAAGCCTTTGACCGCGTCCACCATCAAACGCTAATAGATGACCTTCACAATCTGAAGATCCGTGGAAATGCTCTTGAGTGGTTCAAGTCGTATCTGTCTCACCGACAGCAACGCGTAGAAGTGAACGGAACCTCAAGTGACTGTAGAACCTGCACTAGGGGCGTTCCCCAGGGTTCCGTCCTAGGCCCTACCCTCTTCAGCATCTACACTCGACTCGTCCCCACTCTGCCATTGCGTTCCCAATGCCTTCTTTATGCAGACGACACCACCCTGTATGCCTCTGGAAAGTGTCCACGAATTCTCATGTCTTACTTAGAAGACGATTTTTCAGTGGTTAAGCAGCACCTCACAGATCGCGGCCTGCTCCTGAACTCCAGCAAGAGCCAAGTACTACTGATCCACAGCAGACGCTCACATCCCCCACCTAACCTGAGCATTGTCTGTGGTTCGACTGTTATTGCCCCGTCTGACGAAGTTAAGTATCTAGGACTGACTCTCGATTCAACTTTAAGTTTCAGTGCCCACGTTAACTCCCTCAGGGAAGACATCGGAAAGAAACTAAGTGCTTTTCGACGTGGAAGGAGGAACCTTGCTGTCCAGGCCAGAAGGCAGTTCTACTTGTCAGTAGTCCAGAGCAAGCTCGAGTACGCCAGCACTGCCTATGTCCACTGCCTCGCTGACAATGTGAGAGATCAGCTGCTACGCATAAGTAAGAGAGCCCTTAGATGCATATTTGAGCATGACACATTCACGCGGACATCATACTTGCTTGAGCGATACCACATAATTAGCTTAGACAAAAGATATCATACTAAGTCCATATTCTTCGTGTTCCGTTGCATCCACAATATCTGCAGTTCACTCCTCTCTGACATGTTCTCCCTTCGCCGTGACTGCGCTCACACAGACAGAGTAACCCGCGGCCAAGTCAATTATTCCCTTTCCTTACCCATTGTGCAAGCCCAAGCTGGATACAGATCTATTTCATTCCTTGGTGCTGACCGCTTTAATGCGCTTCCCGAATCCCTTCGCACAAATCATATCCCCAATTCATTTCGCCAGGAACTTAACAATTTCATTCATCTTGGGCACCCTGTAAGAAGACCTTAGGGTCTGTTGGGAATGCCCAAGTAAAATAATAAAATACAATACAATACAAAAAAAAATGTGTGATTTGTTATCAGCTCGCAGCGCTCCTCATTTATTAACCCAGCCTAGCCGGTGTGCCCAATTCATTCCTGATGATGGTTATTTCATGACCGAAACGTTGAAATAAAATATTTTTCTGATGAAAAGCAGTGATTTGAGTGTGAGCCAGGGTTGCTCACAACCATTTTTTTAATAATTATTATGTAAGCAAATTTGCTCTTGTCCGTACAAGAGGCTTGTTTTAGTTCACATTGGACGGGACGCTAAGTAAGGATCGACGGGAAAGGACGGGACGGTCTGACGGCGTCCAATGTGACCATCAGGAACGGGAACGCAACCGTACTACTGTATAGATTGGGAAGCAACAGGAAGATGTGGATCGATTCAACTTTCATTCCGTAGACGAGCGTAGACGGGGACGCAAGCGTACAAAATGGCTTCAGTTCGAGTGTGAACAGGAGTCGGTGTCGTGCGCCAACTACTCCCAATTCATACTTGGACATTTTTTAGAAATTCGAACACTGCGCTTCCCATGGTAACTCACAGAATGGCTAGCATGACTTTAGTTTGATTTTAGCAAGATAAGATCTCATGTCGTTTACTAGTATTGTATTTAGGGATAGTTCAAGAGCTTGACAGACGAACTATTCCTGGGGCTAATATTTGAATTCCACAACCTTCGGCCGAATGTTTTGGTCTTCATGAAAACTGGTATTTTGAATTGATTCCACTTCTTTTCAGGATAAATTATTGAAATGAAGTCCCCGAAAACGAGACCGTGCATTATGACTCGCGCCGTTCAACGTTGAACATCGCAAGACTGTTGCATGTCGTGTCGTGCGAATCGTACTGGATTTTACAGCCAACCCCAGGCGTCCTAACAGGCCCTTACGTCCCGTACCGTTAGCGTTGTGTTCAATGTGAACTTGGCTTTAATGTATGTGTGTATTTGTGTTTATGTACGTGAATGAGTGCATGCGCTACACGTGTGTTTATGTACGCTCATGCGTGCCTGCGTATGAATATTTGTGTGTATTTGTGCGTGCTGTGGGTGTGCACATTTGTGTGTGTTTTTTTTTGTTTTTTTTTACTAAGGCCACAGCTTCCAATCATGACATGCAAAGCAGCGGTGCAGCATCGCAGGCATGAATCGTGGACGTGGTGACGGGGTCTGGTGTGCTCCACCGACCTAGGGTCTCGGCTTCACTGCGCAGCAAACGCGTCGAAAGAAAACGGGGGGTGTGCGTGCATCTGCGTGAGTGTGTGTGCGTGCTTTCGTGGTTGCGAGCGTGCGCCTGTGGTAGGCCTTCCCCAAATCGGCCCATTTTTTGGGGTGGTTCGGCTTTTCGCTAAGCTCGAAATGCATCAGTCAGTTTACTGTTTGAAAATTGGCTGCAAAATTTGAAAAAAATCGGTTAAAAGAATTGCTGGCATATTGGCTTCAAAATTGGTGGGATACAGGAAGATTTGGTATATTTTCGGCGATTCTCGAAGAAACCCTCCAAAATCGGCGAAAAGCGTAGCGATTTTTCGGGAAGTCTCGTTTTCGGAGAATTTTCCGTCTGCTGATTTTGGGATTTTACTAGTAATGATCTTCCTAATCATAGGCTATTGGCTAATTTTTGTTTGTCAAAGGACACGAGTCACATGACCTCAACACACTAGCACTACTAGTGCTGAAGTAGAGAGCTTGAGCGGTTATGCTTGCAACAACATCATTCGTTCGTAAACGCACTTTGCAACAACATTTTGTAGATTTTCGGCGATTCTCAAAGGAACCCTCCAAAATTGGCGAAAGGCTTGACGATGTTTCGATAAGTCTCGTTTTCGGCGAATTTTTCGGCCGGCCGATTTGGGGAAAGGTCTACCGCAGAGTGCAGCAGTGGTACAGACACGTTTGGCTGAACTCTATATTATACACTTACTTGATGCACGGCGACAATCAGGAATTTTTGATGACCACGTTCCATTTGCTTGACATCTGGACGTTACTGAATCAGTATATCCTGGACCTTCCTTACGCCGGCCATGCCTGTTGATGTAACCCGGTTTGCATGTGAATGTCACACTCTCGTTAAAGTTGGCAACTGTTTGATTAGGAAGGAGATATCGCTGTGTCGAACTCTTGCACTGCACGACTACGGATGGAAGCAGAGATGGAGAGAAATATGGGTGATCATGCCAGTTGGTTATTCGATCATCCTGACAAGTTCCGTATGTTGCCGGAGATGGACAAAAGCGTCACAGGTAAGAGGCGGAATTTGAATGTGATGGATGTATTTATACTTATTAATAGACGCAAATCTGGTATCTAGTGAACACTAAAAATCAACACGAATTGGTTTCAAATCATGCTTTATACAGCGTAATGAAAGAAAATAGGCAACCATTCTTACGGTGGCATGGTAGCGTCTGTGACCAAGTGGAATTTCTCGTACAGTGAATCTTGTTTACTCTGCTCTCCAGTGATTTGGCTTGGGCATGGAATTCGAAGCCTTCAACACAGCTGTAATTGATTGTGTCATAGAAGAAAAATTTGTCTTCGGAGTCCGTGGTTCCGTGGATCCGATAAACCCTCATGTTCAGAGTCGGTGGAGGGCAGCTCATGTTGGCTGGTATTTCTGAAAAGGATTCGATCAAAATTGTGAAACGTCTCAAGTGTGAGGCAGTGTTAACGGCGTAAAATTATGATCATTTTTGAAAGGGTACTTTTTGCATTGATTAACTTTCGTTCAGGCGTCTTACTTCCCTTTTCACATCATTTTCAGCCCATCCACCCCTACCCTGAATACTCTACTCACGATTCGTGCAACCTTCCAAAAGGTCCAAATGATGAATAAATGAAGGAAAGAATGAAACGCAAGGCAATCAAGTTGAAGCGTGATCTATTCAGCCTCTCCAAGAAATTCTCTTCGGACTACAACCTATCAGCATGTAAGGCACAGCGGAACAAGGTGAGACATCTTTCCCGCTGGTGCCACCGCCATTGCATTCGTTCAATCAAAACAACACTTACCTCAGGCAGCACTACGCCTCACCAGTGTATCCGCAGGCAGCAATCGCACACAATAAAACCTGGCATCCCTGACTTTGCAAGCCCTCCTCTACAAGCAGTTTACCCCTGTGGCGGTAGCTGATGACCCACGTTTAGTAATACCCCTCTCCAATATGACACCCGTCTTAGGGCTCGCTCACACTGCGACCAAAACCAGCGTCCATGCGGCCAAGTTGCATGGCAACGGCATGAACTTGACCAAAACGTCGCGGCCACGTTTCAAATCATGACCGCGACCTCCGGAGGGGGGTGCCACGACTTGGCGGCAACATGATCGTAGACGTGAAGCGTATTTGTGTACAACCTGGCCTGAAGTATGTTCAATTTCTCAAATTCCGGTGTGTTGATTCATGAAAATCGGCGGTTGTCGATGTCACCTCGACATTTGCACATTTTTAAAATATTGTAGTTGTGGTCCTGCACGCACGCACCGCCATATATGCATTCTTTGCCCTTTTTGGACGATGTCGATTTTGTTTTTGTTTTTGTAGTTGCTTCGTTGTGATCGGGTTAGTGACCAATTTCTACAGTGTACTCGTTCAATACGATGGCAGCTTGGTCTGGCTTTTCGGTTTCGGAAATTATCTTTCTCTACTTTTCTGCGATGATGGAATGCCATACCTCAAGACATTTCAGTTACATATCATCGGAAAATACAGTTCTCATCTCGGCAACAGACGAAAGAAACCACTACCGGAATTTCCACTGCACTGGCACTTGCTCTGACCACGAGGTCAGGAAAGCGAAAGCGCTTGGATGTCAGCGGCAGTCCCTCAAGAGTCCAAACCTACCTGATTGTATGAATTTTTTTCGTCGACTTCAAGAATACGAGCCACGAAGCACTTCCTCCAACATGCAACATGCGAAAAATTACATCCAAAATGGGCCACAACTTTATTAGGAAACGCACGAACTCTTTTGGATACGAACTGCAATTCGTAAAGTTTGTGTGACAAGTTCACGTTTACGCGTGTACGAAGCCTAGTGTGAGCACGACTGCCACGTTTCTGCGTTTTGCTGACGCATGGACGCGTGCTCATGATCGCAGTGTGAGCGCGCCCTTACTCGCCAATTCACCCGCGTTTATACCACTACACCAGATGTTCGTAAAGCTATCTCAAACATGTCTGGTATTTCCAAACTTTGCGAACGGCTCTTCTACAATCAATTATATAATCATAATTACCGTGAATTACTGGGTCCGACTTATTAAAATGTGGGCTTCGCTTCAAAACTCAAGCCTATGTCCAAAGGAGCACCTGTACTAAAAAAATCGACCAAGAGACGATAGATAGAAACGGCACAGTAGTTACTACTGTGCCGTTTCTTGGCCTGACCTTCTAGTTTTCATCTCTGCTGGTGTCTCAGGGCGCTTCTTCAAGTGCGTCAACCTGCAAAACGTCGACATTTTTTTCATCTCCTCCAAGCTACACTGCGCTTCCTTGAATTTTTCATTCCAAAGGCACGATTTAGACGATCGACTTCGCCTCTTCCTCGTGCAGTACGACTGCCGGAATGGTGGCTGTAGGTGTTTTCGCCTGGCGCTCCCACGAGACTTTCAAATGAGGCGAACAAGTAAACCACCACGCATAAAAATCACTTCTCATCACCGTGTGCCGCGCGCGTAGAACTACTGAGTCTGATCTGTGTCGACATGACTGTCACACAGTCAGCTGCATCAGATCATGCGTGCTCTTCCCTGCCTGTTTCACGAATCCACTGGCCCCGGAGACTGGCGATCTTGTGATGCATCGCGATCGCGGCTCCGAGGAGTCGGCGAGGACTCCGCACCATTCACGCACCGTATTCACCTTTTCTGCGCTTCAGTTTTCCAGCCAGGTTGTCACCTGACAATCGACCTCAAGGGCGGTTGTTTATATCGATCAACTTCTCGACGATCTCTTCTGTGATCTTGATTCGTCGGCCGCCACATCGTGAACGAATGCGAGAGAGATCACCACAAACTGGATGGAGCGATGCAGGTGCTTTCTGCACGTGTTTCTGGATGAAGCGTTTGCTGAACTTGATTCTTTCAAGGAAACAGCGACTGCAGCGATTTCAATCCGCCAGGAAGCACTCGAGCACGATCGCCCAGGAGTGTCTAGTACTCCGTGACAATTCCCCATCGCAGAGGGGTGTTGATTTCAGCACCAGGCCTTCTCTGTGTTGCGCGAGAAGCAACAGGAGTCCTCTGACGACAAAATTTGCACGCAAAATGCTCGAGTCGACTAGGATCCTGAGGCGCTGCCTCCTTTGGGGTTGGAGCCATTTCTTCTTCAACATCACAAATCGACAACTGAAGGATAGTGTTAGGTAGCACCAGGCCTTCTCTGTGTTGCGCGAGAAGCAACAGGAGTCCTCTGACGACAAAATTTGCACGCAAAATGCTCGAGTCGACTAGGATCCTGAGGCGCTGCCTCCTTTGGGGTTGGAGCCATTTCTTCTTCAACATCACAAATCGACAACTGAAGGATAGTGTTAGGTAGCTGGAAAGTTTGTTCCGTCCTGAGATTATTTGAATTTGTTTGGCTGACGTTCGAAGCGAAACGCACATTTTAATAAGTTGGACCAAGTACTTGCTAAACTTTCCAAAGTTTTCGGTGCGCAGCGCTGGAGTGTTTTACAGACTACCTATCCGGCAGAAAGCAAGTTGTCTTTGTAGGTGGACTTCTCTCAGATGCTTCACCTGTTCTTTCTGGAGTGCCCCAGGGATCCATCCTAGGGCCTCTCCTTTTCCTAGTGTTCATTAATGATCTCCCCAGTCATGTTGAAAGTGTGTCAATATTCATTTTGATGACGATACTGCACTGCTCCGGTTCAATAAGTGTTTTAACAGGCTGCGAGACAGTCTCCAGCGCGGTATCAACGAAGTCCATCAGTGGATGACTACCTGGAGACTAAGACCTAATATCGCCAAGACTGAGATATTATTCCAGCCGAACTCAGAGCCAACCCATGCATTCATTCTTTTCGCATCCCTCACAGACCTCACAGTGGTAAAGCAGCACAAGCATCTTGGCTTGGTCATTGACTCGGTCTTATCGTTCAGTAGACATGTCGGCTATATCTGTAGCAAAGTCAGTAAAGCTGTTGCCTGCCTCGTGCCTCACTGCTCCCACCTACCGCATGAATGCATTCGCCTTTTTCATCGTTGCTACTCCAAAGTATATTCGCCCCATTTTTCTCTATTGCTCAACTGCCTGGTCATCCCAACTAAGAAAATCGTTAATGAGTACCCTGGAAGTCCACAATACGAGGACACTTAAAAAGTCCTCTTCTGTTCCTTCGGCCGAGCTGTATATGTTTAACACCTTCCCCATCTCTAGTCAAGCGGGTCAAAAACTGTGTATTGTTGTTCATTCTAGTCGTCTTGACAAGGGCCCGCCACAGTTGCGTAAATATATCTCAAGTAAATATATCACTAGATTCTTCCCACTCGTCCTACGCGCAATCCCTGCACTTTGCGTAAACCACGAAACATTAGCTTATACCAGATCTCTGTTTTTCGCTGCCTATTCTCTCTGGCTGGCCCTGCCCCTATCAGCAAAATCGGTTTGTACGCTAAATGATTTCTACGGCAACATGAAGCTCGTGTTCTAATAACTGCGAATTCTTCACCTAGATTCGTTTTTCCTTGCCTCAAGTAATTTGCAATATTCATTTATTTTTTCCATTGTTTTTGTTTACTGCCATGGCTGGCTACCACCCCCCACCCCCAACCCCTCCCTCCATATCGGCCTATATTCCCTGGCCAGGGGAAGGTGCACTAAATATTGCGACAGAGCTTTCGGCCATATTTCCAATTTATTGCATTCCCAAATCATCACAACCAAGCGCTCTGAGCCGCACCATACAGACACCAGCAGGGACACTTCCGTTGAAAGAACCTAAATAGTATTGTTCCACGCCTCTAGACAGCTGTTTCGCTCCCTGTCGGAGATCATCAGTAGAGGATGATAATGGAGTAATGATCATTCTTATACACCAGAAATGGCGCAAGTGCGCGTTTTCCACATAATTATAACAATGGCATTTCCATTGCTATCAGGTTCGGCCTCATTTCCTCTGTGCTGCGCTGACGAGTCCACAAAGGACGAAATAGTTCTGTCCGCAGATTGAGTATTTCGCTCCTGCTCTTGTAGCAGTTGAGCACTCTTGCGTGGGGTAGTGCTTTTGCTGTTTGCGTTATGCAGAGCTCACTGACTTGTCAGTTTCAGCACTCTGGCAAGGTACGTTTGGGCCTGATTGGAAATTTTTATTTCCATTGCTATCAGGTTCGGCCTCATTTCCTCTGTGCTGCGCTGACGAGTCCACAAAGGACGAAACAGTTCTGTCCGCAGATTGAGTAACAATGGCATATGCAAGCTGCTAAATGATCAATGGTAGAGTGTGAGAACAGCGATTAATATTTTATGTATCTATTATTTTATAATGAAGTCGAAGACACCACTGCAGCGGTACTTATGGTTGATAAATATGGTGGTAAAGACACACCTGGCAATATGGCGGTAAACAAACGTGTAGCGCATCAAGTAGCCTGCTATGCCGGATACCGCCAGCCATGCA